AACTGTAGAAAAAGTAAAAGGAAATAGAATGTTTACCAACTGTTTATGAAACTTGTACAGGTAGAGAACTTTCTAAATTTCTCTCTTCAGATTTCTGCTTTCAAAGTTGACGTCTGTTGCTCTCATTCTAAGAACCCATATAAGCTAGACATACTGGAAAATCATAGGTTTTTAAAAAATCCCATCAGATTGCTGAGGCTGCAAAAAACCTAATGCACTAAATTCCAGAAACTGGCGACCTCTCGCTAGCAGAAGGAACACAAATAGCTGCTTCTAGTCCCAGCAGGATGGTGGTGGTGGGGTGGGTGCCCGGCAGCAGGGAGAAAGCGGCTAAAACTGTTTCAGCAACATGTGGGTGAACGGGACCCATTAGATTCCTAAGTGTCCTGACCCCAGAAGTACTACTGAGTCCGAGGAACCCATTCTAACTTCTTTATGAGGAATAGCACTTCAATAGCCCGGTAATGCTGTATGTTACCGCTACCTACACAAAATTTTTACTGCTCTTTTACAAATAGAGTAACTGAGGTGGAAAGGCCATCAGCCCAAACTCATAGTGTGAGTGGGAACCAGGATTTAGGCTCAGGCAGGGTGACCCCATAGCTTTCAGTCTCAGCTACGATGCTATTCTGCTTCTCAGTAAATATTTAGTCAAAGGTTATTCATCAGTATAGCCTGATGAAGTTATTTACTGACTGAATGTACCCAAATTATCAAGCACTTTTCCCACTTTCTTTACAAGGAAGCAAATTCAATACATATAATTTGAAATTTGAGAGCATTGAAAAATTAGGACAACTAGTTTATTTTTTAGAACTAGCAACTCTCTATGGGTGCAGGTGCTGGGGTTTTCTGTTCCAGAATTCTGATGTTTAAGATGATGCATATTTGTTTTAGGTTTAACAGCTATTCTCTATTCAAGGAGTATCCATGAATTAATTTCCATGCTAATTTAAATTCCAGCAGTAATATGTATAATTCTCCCTTTGCTCATTGTAGAGACCTACACCTTGTGTCCATAGGGGATGGTGCAGGTAAAGTTATACTTTCTATCATTTGCAAATATGTCAGCACTTCCAAGGACCAACTCCTAGTGAAATGAAGTGAGTAGATACTTTGCAGAAAAATTTGGACATTTGGGATTTTCATAAATTGTTTCCTGAATTTGCTTCACCATTTAAAATATAGAATTTATAGTGTATCACCCATCACCCAAATATCTGCAAGTCTTTTGTTGTTTGAATAAAAACTATAATGTGGATATGTTGCCGGTTCAACTATTATGACCAACTTCCCAGGCACCTATAGCAATAAGGTATTTTTCAGAGTTAGCAATGGGTTTGTAAAAGATTATAAAGGATTAGAGCTTTTCCATATTTGATGTTTCCCCCAAATTTTGTTTCTGGGAGTACTTTTTGCTAGGGATCCCCCAAACGGGAGGAGAAAAGGTACTGCTAAAAAATCTATGACAGGGCAGGACAGGCCCTCCCAGAGGAGTCTCCTGCCTCCCAGGAATCTCAGCCAAGGCAGTGATGAAGGAGTAATAGGAAATGCTAGCTAGGGACCTTAGGCAATTCTAAAAAAAGAATCATCAATAAGAAATGTGGACAGTGCAGTGATGAGAATCACGTTTATATCACCCCAAGCCCCTTTTCCTGAAATCCCCATCCCCTTGATAATATCCAATATTGAAATAGTTTTTTTTTTTAATTCGTTTGAAAGAGAGACACAGAGACAGACAGAGCACAAGCAGGGGGAGAGGGAGAAGCCGGCTCCCAGCTCAGCGGGCTCCCAGCCTGACGTGGGGCTCGATCCCAGGACTTAGAGATCATGAACTGAGCCAAAGACAGATGCTTAACCATCTGAGCCACCCAGGCGCCCCTGAAATAGTGTTTTAGTACTTTACCAAGATTGTCATCTAACAGCTAAACCTTAACCTTGAAATCCATCCTTCACTTGCCATCACTGGTTTTCCCAAGGCTTTGTTCTCATTTACTTCCACTGTTGATTCTCTTCTGTTCCCATCTTCCAATCATTTTTTCTTTGGCCTTCTGCTCTTCCTTTTGCAATTTTAATTATTGAAAATGAGTCTTCCCGAGCTCTGATGTCACATAATTGGCACAGAATACACAGTTAAATAATTCTTGAAAACTGAATCAATCTCTAATTGAGAGGCATTTCTGCTTGGAAGTCACAGCATCACCTCAAAGCCTGAAACCACCATATTGTCTTGCTCTTAAAATAAGTCACTTTTCTGATGTGTGTGTTAAGGATAGGGAGAACTAACATTTATTGAGTGATTGTGTGTCACGTATTTTCAATAAATTATCTACCTCTGACAACAATCCTATGAAATAGGTGATTTAATGAAGAAACAGGCCCAAAAACATTGAGCAAGGGAAGGAACGGAGATCTGAACTCAGATCATCTAACTCAAATCAGAGTCTCTCACATCACATCACAGGACCTCAGGCCTGTTTCTTTGGGTTTTTGGGGGGGGCATGGGCAGAGCTGTTTCTTATATGTGAAGTCACTTAACCCTTCTCAGTTCTGGTGTTTCTGTCAAGTAGAGGCCCAAGTGATGACAAACACAGCCAAAGACAGGACCTGAACTGATAGGTAATTAGGGATGAACAAAAAAGGATGGCACACTCAGCAGAATCAAAGGTAAGATACTTTCAACTAAAAATATAGGAAATTAAAGAGATTTTTGAAATTGCAGTCATGATTTATCAAAATAAATAATAATAATAATAACTTGTTTGAAGCAAGTTCTGAAATAATATAAATATATTATCTTTTCCAGATTTTGTTTGGGACCTGTTTTCAGGCCCATTTCTCAGTTTCTATGTTAAAAAAAGAGAGAGACAGAGACTTGAACAAAGAGGCAACAAAGACCATACATTTCATTAAAAATTTTATTTTTAGAGCCCATAAATGGGCAAATTCCAAATAGTAGTAATACAGAGTATTTAAGAACACCTTAATATTTCTTTCTATCCATCTTTGTTTTCCTTTCCGTAAACAAATATACTGGATTAAAGCAACAACACTCTTAACCCCAAGTTCAATGCCTGAGTACTTTCAATATCTATTTTGAACACATAATAAAGCAGAGGCAGTTAATTTTATTTCCATTCAGAGCTTAGCAATTACTTTAGCTTCACATCATTCTGTCACAAATGATAACCAAATGGCCTAAGTAGCTAAAATCATTGAACTATTATAAGCCAAGTCAATGGTCTGTATAAAGTTAATATAAAACAATAACTAGACTGGTATACATTTGTTTTGGGCCCTACAAGAACTGTGCCAAAATAACAAACTTTAGTAAAAGATGAGGTCATTGGGCAGAGGGCTCTAAGAGGGTCATGTCATCAAAATTTTTGAGGAAAACTGTAGGTAAAAGGAAATCAGCCTAAGCAATTTTAACCAAAGAGAGGAGGAAAGGGCAGTACATTATCAGGGCTGACGACAATTAGCGAAAATACATACACCATTCCCTCACAAACTTGTTCACTACCTCAAGAGGTCAGCATCAGGCTCTCCAGGGATTGTTATTCTCCCACTAAGTTTCTTCACATGGAACATAAGCCTACATTTATGCTAACAGCAGAGTATTAGATGGCTATTTAATCTGACAGCGAACAACAGGAAAAAAAATTGTTAGGGCCAGAGTGTCTTCAGGCCATCTCAATACCCCTGAAAATAGGGGCAAAAAATGTATCATTAAGCAACAGTATTCAAAGAGCACTGTGTTATCTAATGTGATTTATAAAACAAGTAAAATTCAGTAATCCTCAATGGAAAAAATCATTAACATTTGAAAATTCGGAATGTTTTGATGCTGATTTTTTACCAAAGTGGCACTCCAAACAGTTAAGCTGGAACAAATTCCAAACTCACTCACTTGCATCACCTCAGTTTAATAATCCAATAAATGACAAAAAAGACAAACAATGAAAACAGCATCATATAGCACAGCAGCTTTGTTTGGCTCCCTCTAGATAAAATCTTCAGTTTTCCCATAGTTTTACCTAGAAATCCAGTTGTAGAATCAAATTGTGAATCCTGTGAGGAGAAAAGGAAAACAAAAGTTAGATTCTAATATCCTACATATGCGCATTTAAGTAATTGAATATACTGTTATTAGAATACATTTTTAATGTTTAATCAATTCAGGAGCCTGTTTGTAACTTGGATAATCAAGTCTGATTACTCCGTGCAAAACAGAGTAATTCTCTCAATGAATAAAAAGCTCTTTCATTATCCAATAAACATTTCTTTCAGCACCAGAGTAATTCAAAATCCCAAACTATTTAGGTCTTTCCCAATCATGTGAATTAAAAAAACATTAACAATAAAGGTATGTAGTTTGTCTATTATCATACAGGTGTTTTCTGTTTTTGTTGGGGCACTGCTCCTCCAGGTCAAATGGTTGGTGAATTCAGTACAATAATTCATCCAAAATTTAATATGGTTAGCAGTTAAATGTACTTTACTTTTAAGATCCTTTTATTTAGATGGCTGACCTTGAAGTACAGTAGAGTCTATTAAAAGTTAAGAGAATATCATGGTTAAGACTATAAATATGGATGGGGAAAACTACCATATTAAGTCCTTAAGATGAGAGGACTAGGTGTGGATTAGAAATATTGCACTTTCACAGAAATCTCAATATCCTAAGATGTAAAGGCCCCAGCATAATGACAGCCTTTGCACAGCTCAGGTTCTATGGACTTCAAGCACTTTAGGTCTATAGTTCTTCACCAGGGTTATGTATCACAATGACCTGGGACACTTTCTTTTTTCACAATACGTATGTATAGGTCCTTCCCCTGAAATTCTTTATCAGTATATTTAGATTGGGAACCAGGCATAAATATTTTCAGAAAGTTCCCCCGGTGATTCTAATGTACAACCTCCATATGAACATTGCTTTCAATGCCATATTCATTTTTTAATGCCATATTCATTTTTGAATAAAACAATTTTAAAAGCAAGTGGAGAAACTAGGGAAGGTCCAGAGAAGTGACATCCAAAATAAACATTCAGGAATGGAAAGAGGCTCTACAAGAAAAGATATATGTTGCTGAGCTTACTGAGACTTGAGATAAAAGGCTCTGGGATGTTACTATGTTCAAATCTTATTGATTTGTTCAGAAGTGATCCTTAGGAGATCAAGCAAAAGAAATGGGCTCACATTAAGTGAAAGACATTCAGCTGGTTGGATATGAAGTGGTTTTTGATTACTTGGTAGTCTGTATCCATTGAGATCTCCAAGAACACTCAAAACAGTCATTTGTCCTGAGTCTTTAACAGTGTTTCTAAATACAAGATGAAAGATTCAGTGGCTTCTACCTCATCCTCCCACTTGTGTTAGGCAAGATGAAAAATGGGAAAATAAATAAACTTATTATTTCAAAGCAATGAGATACAAAAGGGCAGGAATCCAGGACTTATAATTTCTAATTTCAAAATGGATAAAAGTTAAAATGATTAACATATTAAAATTGAGAATATTAGATCAAATTTCTTCAATTTAAAGTCAGAACCACTTACCATTTCAGCTAATAATTTATTTTGATGTTTAACCTCATGGCCTATTTCAATGGAAAGCTATTTAAAAAAAAGCACATACATTATTACTCATATGAAGGTATTTAAGTGTCATAAAGTAAAAATAATACCACTCTAAGCATACTCATTTTCTCAAATAAAACTGTCTTCTAAAAATATAAAATACATATACTTTCTTCTGATATTTTTCCCACTGACATTAAAGGAAAACAAATTTAGAATTTCTACTCCTTCCCAACTATGGATATTGTCTCCCTGCTCTTCATTTTGATTTCATCTTAATACTCAATTCCATCTTTTAATTTTGGTACATACTTCTCTCTGAATCTCTTAGCCTTGCATGCTTTTTTCTTCCTCTCTTTATATTTATACAACATCATTTATCTGTATATTTTCTTCTTTACTTTTTTTTTTTTTTAAGATTTTATTTATTTATCTGAG